GTAGTAGAAGCAACAGTAGCAGCAGTAGTAGTAATAATAGTAGTAGAAGCAACAGTAGCAGCAGTAGTAGTAATAGTGGTAGAAGCAACAGTAGCAGCAGTAGTAGGAATAGTAGTAGAAGCAACAGTAGCAGTAGTAGTAGGTAATAGTGTAGAAGCAACAGTAGCAGCAGTAGTAGTAATAGTGGTAGAAGCAACAGTAGCAGCAGTAGTAGTAATAGGGGTAGAAGCAACAGTAGCAGTAGTAGTAGTAATAGTGGTAGAAGCAACAGTAGCAGCAGTAGTAGTAATAGTGGTAGAAACAACAGTAGCAGCAGTAGTAGTAATAGTGGTAGAAGCAACAGTAGCAGCAGTAGTAGTAATAGTGGTAGAAGCACCAGTAGCAGCAGTAGTAGTAATAGTGGTAGAAGCACAGTAGCAGTAGTAGTAGTAATAGGGTAGAAGCAACAGTAGCAGCAGTAGTAGTAATAGTGGTAGAAGCAACAGTAGCAGCAGTAGTAGTAATAGTGGTAAAAACACAGTAGCAGCAGTAGTAGTAATAGGGTAGAAGCAACAGTAGCAGCAGTAGTAGTAATAGTGGTAGAAGCAACAGTAGCAATAGTAGTAGTAATAGTGGAAGAAGCAACAGTAGCAGTAGTAGTAGTAATAGTGGTAGAAGCAACAGTAGCAGTAGTAGTAGTAATAGTGGTAGAAGCAACAGTAGCAATAGTAGTAGTAATAGTGGTAGAAGCAACAGTAGCAGTAGTAGTAGTAATAGTGGTAGAAGCAACAGTAGCAGTAGTAGTAGTAATAGTGGTAGAAGCAACAGTAGCAGCAGTAGTAGTAATAGTGGTAGAAGCAACAGTAGCAGCAGTAGTAGTAATAGTGGTAGAAGCAACAGTAGGAGCAGTAGCAGTAATAGTGGTAGAAGCAACAGTAGCAGCAGTGGTAGTAATAGTGGTAGAAGCAACAGTAGCAGTAGTAGTAGTAATAGTGGTAGAAGCATCAGTAGCAGTAGTAGTAGTAATAGTGGTAGAAGCAACAGTAGCAGCAGTAGTAGTAATAGTGGTAGAAGCAACAGTAGCAGTAGTAGTAGTAATAGTGGTAGAAGCAACAGTAGGAGCAGTAGCAGTAATAGTGGTAGAAGCAACAGTAGCAGCAGTGGTAGTAATAGTGGTAGAAGCAACAGTAGCAGTAGTAGTATTAATAGTGGTAGAAGCAACAGTAGCAGGAGTAGTAGTAATAGTGGTAGAAGCAACAGTAGCAGCAGTGGTAGTAATAGTGGTAGAAGCAATAGTAGCAGTAGTAGTATTAATAGTGGTAGAAGCAACAGTAGCGGGTAGTAGTAGTAATAGTGTAGAAGCAACAGTAGGAGCAGTGTAGTAATAGTGGTAGAAGCAACAGTAGCAGTAGTAGTAGTAATAGTGGTAGAAGCATCAGTAGCAGTAGTAGTAGTAATAGTGGTAGAAGCAACAGTAGGAGCAGTAGCAGTATAGTGTAGAAGCAACAGTAGCAGCAGTGTAGTATAGTGGTAGAAGCAACAGTAGCAGAGTAGTAGTAATAGTGGTAGAAGCAACAGTAGAGCATAGCATAATAGTGTAGAACAACAGTAGCAGCATAGTATAATAGTGGTAGAAGCACCATACACAGCAGATAATAGTGTAAAGCAACAGTAGCAGCAGCAGTAGTAATAGTGGTAGAAGCAACAGTAGCAGCAGTAGTAGTAATAGTGGTAGAAGCAACAGTAGCAGCAGTAGTAGTAATAGTGGTAGAAGCATCAGTAGCAGCAGTAGTAGTAATAGTGGTAGAAGCAACAGTAGCAGCAGTAGTAGTAATAGTGGTAGAAGCACCAGTAGCAGCAGCAGTAGTAATAGTGGTAGAAGCACCAGTAGCAGCAGCAGTAGTAATAGTGGTAGAAGCAACAGTAGCAGCAGCAGTAGTAATAGTGGTAGAAGCACCAGTAGCAGCAGCAGTAGTAATAGTGGTAAGAAGCACCAGTAGCAGCAGCAGTAGTAATAGTGGTAGAAGCACCAGTAGCAGCAGCAGTAGTAATAGTGGTAGAAGCAACAGTAGCAGTAGTAGTAGTAATAGTGGTAGAAGCAACAGTAGGAGCAGTAGCAGTAATAGTGGTAGAAGCAACAGTAGCAGCAGCAGTAGTAATAGTGGTAGAAGCAACAGTAGCAGCAGTAGTAGTAATAGTGGTAGAAGCACCAGTAGCAGCAGCAGTAGTAATAGTGGTAGAAGCACCAGTAGCAGCAGTTGTAGTGAAGTTCATGGTGATGTGTTGCAGCACTATGGTTGTACCAGGTGATGTTTTGTTGTTTCTCTTATGGTGTGTTGCAGGACCACTGTTGTGCCTGGTGTAGTGTTGCAGGACCGTGATTGTGCCTGGTGTAATGTTGCAGGACTGTGGTTGTGCCTGGTGTAGTGTTGCAGGACCGTGGTTGTGCCTGGTGTAGTGTTGCACGACCGTGATTGTGCCTGGTGTAATGTTGCTGGACTGTGGTTGTGCCTGGTGTAGCGTTGCAGGACCGTGGTTGTGCCTGGTGTAATGTTGCAGGACCGTGGTTGTGCCTGGTGTAATGTTGCAGGACCGTGGTTGTGCCTTTTGTAACGTTGCAAGACCGTGTTCGTGCCTGGTGTAGTGTTGCAGGACCGTGGTTGTGCCTGGTGTAGTGTTGCAGGACCGTGGTTGTGCCTGGTGTAGTGTTGCAGGACCGTGGTTGTGCCTTGTGTAGTGTTGCAGGACCGTGGTTGTGCCTGGTGTAGTGTTGCAGGACCGTGGTTGTGCCTGGTGTAGTGTTGCAGTACCGTGGTTGTGCCTGGTGTTGTGTTGCAGTACCGTGGTTGTGCCTGGTGTTGTGTTGCAGGACCGTGGTTGTGCCTGGTGTAGTGTTGCAGTACCGTGGTTGTGCCTGGTGTAATGTTGCAGGACCGTGGTTGTGCCTGATGTAGTGTTGCAGGACCGTGGTTGTGCCTGGTGTAGTGTTGCAGTACCGTGGTTGTGCCTGGTGTTGTGTTGCAGGACCGTGGTTGTGCCTGGTGTAGTGTTGCAGTACCGTGGTTGTGCCTGGTGTAGTGTTGCAGGACTGTGGTTGTGCCTGGTGTAGTGTTGCAGGACCGCGGTTGTGCCTGGTGTAGTGTTGCAGTACCGTGGTTGTGCCTGGTGTAGTGTTGCAGGATCGTGGTTGTGCCTGGTGTAGTGTTGCAGGACCGTGGTTGTGCCTGGTGTAGTGTTGCAGGACCTTGGTTGTGCCTGGTGTAGTGTTGCAGTACCGTGGTTGTGCCTGGTGTAGTGTTACAGGACCGTGGTTGTGCCTGGTGTAGTGTTGCAGGACCGTGGTTGTGCCTGGTGTAGTGTTGCAGGACCTTGGTTGTGCCTGGTGTAGTGTTGCAGGACCGTGGTTGTGCCTGGTGTAGTGTTGCAGGACCTTGGTTGTGCCTGGTGTAGCGTTGCAGGACCATGGTTTTGTCTGGTGATGCTGCATTACACCACCAATATTGTACCTGGTGATGTGTTGCTGGACCATGGTTGTGTCTAGTATTTTGTTCCTGGACCATGGTTGAACCTAATGTTGCTTTGCAGGAACATGCAGAAGCCTCACTTCAGAAACGAAGTTTCGGTCTAACCTGGAACATTAACTAGTCACACAGAAAAGTGCGAAGTGAAGGGAGCCAGAATACTGTATACACGAGAGGTGAGCTCGGAAAGGGAGTAATAAAGTATGAGAAGGGAGTAGTAGTAGTCGTGGTGGTGGTAACGTATTAATAGCAGTAACAGTTGTAGAAGTGCACTACTACTCGTATATCTACTACTACTACTATACTACCTCCATCACTACTAGAATACTGCTACTGCTCCCTCCCGTTCTACCACTCCCATCCCTTTGGCCTGTCGTACATATTCTGGCTCCCTTCCCTACTCGCTTCAGCATGGCTTTTTAATGGTCCAAGTCGGATCGAAACGTCGTCATAAATTTCTGTCTCTTAAGTACGAGTTATTTGTATTTTCTATCCAAGGTGCCGTGACTCTTAATTCTTTGCAGGATCACGATTGTACTGAACCATGGTTGTACTGTATCTTGTGATGTCTTGGAGGACCATGCTTGAGTTCGATGATGTGTTGCTAGACCATAGGTGAGCTTGGTGATGCTCTGGTGTAGTATCATTGCTGCACCAGGTGATGTGTTCTGGACGACAGTTATACCAGGTGATGTGTTTCTGGACCATGGCTGTACCTGATGTTGCATTATAAGACGAGGGTTGTTCGAAGGGATGCCCTATTGTATGACAGTGGTTGTTTTTAGTATTGTGTTGCAGGACCATGATTGAACCCGGTGATGGGATGCTGGACCATGTTTATATCTGGTGGTATTTTGCAGCACCATTATTATACCTGTTGATGGGCAGGAAGACCATGGTTGTACCTAGTGATGTGCTGCAGGATCTTGGTTATATTTGGTGATGGGCTGCAGTACATAGTTGTACATAGTGATGCGTTGCAGAACAGTAGTTTATACATGATGCTATATCTTAGGAATATGGTTGTACCTAGTGATGTTGTGTTACTTGACCATGGTTGTACCAGGTGTTTGTTGCATGACCATAGTTGCACCTGGTAATGTTTTCTTGCAGGACAGTTGTATCTAATGTTGTGCTGCAGGGTAATGGTTGTATCTAATGTGTTACAGGATCGTAGTTGTATCTGATGTTGTGTTTCAGGGTAGTGGTTGAAGATTGAGATACTTTTGCAACATATGGGAAACTTTATTAAGTTTCCCATATGTTGCATAAGTGTCTCAATCTTCAACTTGTCGGGTTTCAAACCATTTATCACAGGGTAGTGGTTGTATCTGATGTTGTGTTACAGGGAAGTGGTTGTATTTGATGATGTGTTGCAAGGTAGTGGTTGCATCTAATGTTGTGTTACAAGGTAGTGGTTGTACCTGATGTTGTTTTGCAGGCTAGTGTTTGTGTCTGATGTGTCACAAGGAAGTGGTTGTATCTGTTGTTGTTTTGCAGGTCCGTGGCTGTACTTGGTGATGGGTCCAGTACACAGTAAGAACGTCACTGTGGTGTGGGGGGAGACACCCGGTCTCCAGACTCTGGAGCAGCCTCGTATATCTCGCATCGGATTCAGGATCACATGGAGGAGGGTGGATGGTCGTGTGGGACATCCAGGTCATGCTTCCAGCCTCGCCTCCAGTAAGCATGTCATCAGAGGCCTCATTCCAGGCACCAGGTACACAACATTCCAGGCACCATATAAAGAATATTCCAGACATGAGGTAAAGAATATTCCAGGCAAGAGGTACCAAGCATTTCAGCCACAGGTACAAATTATTCCAGGCACAAGGTAAAGTGTGTCCCTGGCGCTGCGTAAAGTGTATTCTAGCATAAGGTCAAGAGAATTCGAGGCAGAAAATATAGGTTATTCTACGCACAGGCTAAAAGTGTATTCCAAGCACAAGGTTTAAAGCATTCCAGGATCAAGGTAGAGAGAATTCAAGGCATAAGTTAAAGACTTCGAGGCACATGGAATAGAGTATTCCAAGCACATAATAGTGTGTTTCAGGAACGTGGTGAAGAATATTCCAGCTACTTGATATAAAGTATTCCAGGATCTAAGTGTAGAGTATTTCAGAAGCAAATTAAAAACATTCCACGCATCATGTGGAATGTTGCGTGGAATGTCATTCTATGTATTTTTTTTAACTTATGGAGAGTAGGCTTACTGGGCAGCAAATGTAAAAGTAGGCTTTCTGGACAGCAATCATCAGAGTAGGTTTTCAAGGCAACAGTCCTCAGAAAAGGGTTTTCCACTTATCAGTTATATTAAGCTCTTCAGGAAGCATTAGAGTAATCCTTCCAAGCAAGAGTTATTAGAGTTAGGCTTTACGGGTAGTACTTGCCAGGCTTAACGGACACTAGATGTGAAACTTTCTGCTGCAAGAATGGAAAGACGAAGGTGTGGGTGGGCTGCCTGGGGGCTGTGACAGGAAGTACATTAGTCATCAACGTCAGAATTGGTAATAGGTACAACCCCATTATCAGTGTTGAGGGCCGCGATTTTTGGAAACGCAGTAGGAATTAGTTTTTTTTTAATTTCGGTCATTTAATCTAGAAAATGAGTGAAGAGGGAAACGCTATATCGTACATTTATCAAACTGGATATTCAGTTGCGTTGGTCTTGTAGCAGCAGGTTAGTTGCAGGACAGAGGAGGACATGAGACAGACAGACAGACAGACAGACAGACAGACAGACAGACAGACAAGAGTTTAGGGAGTCTTAGACTCCCAATGGAGTGAGCGGGGGATACGGGACAGACGAAGAATAGCGTTTGAGAGGCGTGTCTACAGTCGTAGAGAAAGAGCCTAGCAGCTAGGCGCTCGTGGGGTAGAATTGAGAAACAGGAATAGCAAGGTCTGTTGCATCGAACTTGTGGTAGCTGAAGTCTTGAATCTTGAGTGGCTGGCAGCAGGCTAGGTAGCAGGAGAAGGAACATCAGAGAGCAGCACACAGGTGGGAGTTATAGGAGTAATTGAGGAGGCAGGTTTGCAGTGGAACCATTTTCAAGCTTTTTGAAACTGCTCTTGGAGAGGTTGTATAGTTTAATCTTGTTACTAAAGGTGAAACGAAGAGGCTTGATGAACTCAAGAACTTGGGTGAGTGTAAAGTCAAGAAGTGATTCACAGGCATACTTGACTGTTCCAGCACCAAGGCTCAGTATAGGTCATGGTGTCAGTATTTGAAGAAGTGTAGAAGGTAAGGTTTTCCCATGAGGGTGTACTGGAGTCGTCGCTATCTTCTGGAGTGGATTCATTGGGCGAGTCTACATTGGTGGCAGCAGGTGACTGAGGGTCGACAGGAGCAGTGGAGATGTGTAATGGTGGTGTAACAGCAGGTTGGGAGACGTGGGATACGATGGTTGAGGCAGCATGATCATCGCTGTCAGCGGTGGAAGTGGTTATAGAAGTTACAGGAGCAGGGGACAGGTCTGCAGGTGCAGTGAAGTTCACGGCGTTGGGAAGGATCTTGAGGATGTCGACTGAAGGTGTGGAGTCTGGAAAATTGAAGGCAGGCATGTTGTTCAGACGGAATAGTTTGTTAATAGTGATGTTGAAAGTGCCGGGGTTTGCTGCATTTGCAAGGTGCGCATACACCATGCAGTACAGTACCTTGGAGGGAGCAACGTCGGGGAGTGGAGAGAGGTAGTTGCTGGGCGAAGGTGTCTGTAGAGTGACGTGTAGAATCTTGGTGGTGTCGGCTTGTAGTTTGGTTATTGCAGCGTATGTCGGCGAATTGGAGATGTTCTTCAGATCGTCTTTAGTTTTCTTGAATATGATTTCTTTCCTGAGCGGGCACTTAGCTGCAAGGGTATGATGATTACCCTTGCAGTTAAGGCATGATGGAGCCGTGGTGATGGTGCAGGATCTGAATTCGTGTCCATCATCCCCACATTTTGAACAAAGCTTCTTATCCTTGCTGGATCAATCCTTGATGGTGTGATTATTGGAGTAGCAGGTCCAGGAATCGGAGATATGTGTGAAGCGTTCTGGTTCTATATGGCTTGGGTGAATGTGGTAATATGAGATGGTCAGACGGTCAGCCATGGGCAGCCATGGAGATATCTGAGAATGTAATCTTTACCATAGATAAGATAAGATTTCGTTCGGATTTTTAACCCTGGAGGGTTAGCCACCCAGGATAACCCAAGAAAGTCAGTGCGTCATCGAGGACTGTCTAACTTATTTCCATTGGGGTCCTTAATCTTGTCCCCCAGGATGCGACCCACACCAGTCGACTAACACCCAGGTACCTATTTGCTGCTAGGTGAACAGGACAACAGGTGTAAGGAAACGTGTCGAAATGTTTCCACCCGCCGGGAATCGAACCGGGGCCCTCCGTGTGTGAAGCGGGAGCTTTAGCCACCAGGCCACCGGGATCTTGGAGATGCTCTCTACAGAGGCCCAGGTGTTTTGTTCCTCGATAGATGTCTTTAGTGCTTCAGTTGAGGGAGACGTGGCGATCTTGTCCAGTGTTTGTGAAAAGACTGGACAAGAGACGGGGATATGGTGAATTTTCCTGTTTGTAGGGTCTTGATTGAAGGGTCGTCCATGAATTTTGGTGCTTCATTGTCGTCTGTGCAGACGACAATGAAGAAGTCCTTCAGAGAGTGGATTGTTGTAAATTTGACCTGCAGGCAGGTCCTAACGGCAGTAGCTAAAGCTAGCTTCGAGGAGTCATTGATTATTCCATTCAAAGGCTTAATTTTCACACAATGCGACAGCATTGTGAGAAAAGAGGTGGGGCTTGTATAATATAAATTCCCCTCCCCAGCGGGGATCGAAGGAAAATTTGTTGAGTGTAGAGCAACTGTGTCTTGCCAGTGGGATACCTTTGCTAGGGGGATACCTTTCTAGGATCGTGCAGCGACCGAAATACATCTAACTGTATTTACTGGTAAGCACTGCACCCATGGGTAGTAAAGCACTTAGGGGCGAGGGCTAAATTGTTATTATTGTTATGCTGTATGACCCTCGTGGGTTTAGCGTTTAGTTTTGATAATAATAATATTATTATTATTCATAGGAAGAGCTAAACATTAATGACTTATACAACGCCTGGGGAGTGCGAGGTAATCATTTTAATTAACTGGTATTATCTTCCCAGGTTTTCATTCATAATTGTTTATCTTGTGGTCTGATTGGCTTCAGATTTTCCACTCTGGCGTCCAGTATGTAGGGAGAGTCTAGGTTGCTTACTAGGATGTGTAGCTTTATAGTTTCAGAAATGATTTTTAGTAGTTTTAACTCAATAACTTCAGAATACCTCTTCCAAATTTCAACGCAGAAATATTCTACCTGGTGAAAAGGTTCTCACAGTTATTGGAATGTGTTGATACTAAGTTGTCACTCTCATTAACAAAATTGTAAGTCATTCTTTTCCCGCAAGATAATGTAAGAATGTCTTTACTGAAAAACTTTAAGCTTTAAAGACCGATTTATTTTAGGGTTTGATGACTCATTAGTATATTAAACTTCGTGATAAGTTTAAACTTGAGAATTGTCTCTCAAAGTTAAAAAAAAAAAAATAGGATTATTGGTTTCCTTGCGATAATTGGAAAATGTCTATTCTCGTGGCTCACTTGGTAGCTGCCTTCGGCTCGCACGCTGGGGGACTAGGGTTCGATCTCCGGTACTAGTGGATACGTTAGACAGGCTTCTTTTATACCACCTGCTCCTGCTCACCCAGCAATAAGTATTATTATTATTATTATTATTATTATTATTATTATTATTATTATTATAATCAAAGGGAGCGCTAAACCCATAGGATTATGCAGTGCCTGTGGGGGGATGTGGAAGGTATTCAGGCTTAATTCAGGGAACTGGAGAATAGATCCAATTCTCTTGATCAAGAGCCCCTCATCAACGTTAAGGAACCTTCCTTGAGGGGCCAGCAATAAGTAGGTACCTGGGTGTGAGCCGACAAGTGTGGGTCGCATCCTGGGGTTTCAAGGACACCAGTGGAAATAAGAGAATCCCCGATGACAACCTGGATTTGGGTAACTAACACTCAGTCTTAATACTCTGAACAAAATCTTAATTTTTTTTAGCGCTGGTGTGTTTTACTTAAATAAAAATTAATTTTGTTGTTGGGTCCTGCAAGTCACAATTTTGTTAAAGAAATTGAGAATTTGATTCCATGAAATAAATGAAGATCGGCTTCAATCTTCAAGCTTAATTGGCTTTTGTTTGTGTAACTGCCAATTTACAGATTTTATTGAAGAAATTTGGAAAATTTATTACCTGGTTATATGCAACAACTTGCCAATGTCTTTCTGATTGTCTTCAAACTTTCAATGCTAATGTATTTCGCTCAGAAATTTTGACTACTGAACTCTGTAGGTGACAATTTGCTCAGTTTTATTTCATACGTAAGGTTTGCAAATAAATTTCTCTGCCACACTTGCTATTACCAATCTCATAAAATTAAAATTAAAAATATATTTTTTTTACAAATTTGTAGAGAATTTAAAGTGTAATATAATGGAAAAACAAAATGGAAAAATGCACATTGAAACTTGGCAAAGAATTTACAAACTGAAAATAGATTCCCCCAAAAATATTAAATGATTTTTTTACACATTACTTCTGTGGAATTTTTGCCTACCTAAATTTATACCCACCAAGTCTTTAATATTGAATATTTAGGAAACAGTGAATACTGGAACCAAG